CTGTGTTTATGGGGCTCCACCTGGAGCCCCCCGCTGTGTTTATGGGGTTCCACCTGGAGCCCCGTGTTGGGCAGATCCCAATAACCCCCCCCGCTTGTTGATGGGTCCCCACTCGTGTTGAACTCTGGTGGTTCCCCATTCGAGCTGGGCTGCGGATGGCGATGCTTGGGGGGGGGGCTGACGCTGCGCTCCTTACACCCCAGTGGTGCTCATCGGGGACTCGGGCGTGGGGAAGAGCAACCTGCTGTCCCGCTTCACCCGCAACGAGTTCAACCTGGAGAGCAAGAGCACCATCGGGGTGGAGTTTGCCACCCGGAGCATCCAGGTGGACAACAAGACGGTGAAGGCACAGATCTGGGACACGGCCGGGCAGGAGCGGTACCGCGCCATCACCTCCGCGTGAGCGTCCCCCCCTCCCTGCGCCCGCACCCCATAACCTGGGCTCTGACCCCCGCGCCCATCGCTGCCCCCAGGTACTACCGCGGGGCGGTGGGAGCGCTGCTGGTGTACGACATCGCCAAGTACCTGACGTACGAGAACGCCGAGCGCTGGCTGGCGGAGCTGCAGGACCACGCCGACGCCAACATCGTCATCATGCTGGTGGGCAACAAGAGCGACCTGCGGCACCTGCGCGCCGTGCCCACCGACGAGGCCCGGAGCTTTGCAGGTAAATTCATCTCCCGTCGATCCCAGCACGTGTGGCGGTGCCGTCGTTGGGTTGGATGGGGTGATGGGCGGCCTGATCTTCGGGAACTATCAGCTCACGTTGGAGCTGGGTGGGCTTTAAGGGGCCCTCCAACCTCAGCCGTTCTGTGGTTGCACCCCATGAGCTCTGCTGGGCTTTAAGGGGCCCTCCAACCTCAGCCGTTCTGTGGTTGCACCCCATGAGCTCTCTCCATTGCTGCAGAGAAGAACGGGCTCTCCTTCCTTGAGACGTCGGCTCTGGATTCCACCAACGTGGAGATGGCGTTCCACAACATCCTCTCCGGTAAGGATGGGGGGATGAGGTGCTTTGGGGTTGTGTCCCCCCGGAATCCATTCTGTGAGCTGTGGGCTTGGGTCCAGCACGCTGCCATGGGGAGATGTGGGCGCTCCCAGCCCTCCGAACCCGACTTGACCTTCATCCTAACAGCAACCCTAACCAAACTCCAACCCAAGCCCAACCTTAATCCCAACCCTAATCCTAACCCCAGCCTTAGCCCCAAACCTGATCCTAACCCCAAATCCTAATCCTAACCCCAGCCCCAACCCTAACCCCAACTCGAGCTTTAATCCTAACCCTAACTCCAACCTCAAACGCAACAATAACCCTAATCCTAATCCCAACCTTAACCTCATCCTGAATCCCAACCCTAACCTGAACCCTAATCTTAAACCTGGCCCTACTCTCAATCCCAACAGTAACACGGTGGGAGCTGCAACCCCTGCCCTAACTCTCACCCCAAACCCACCCTTAACACCAAGCCCTCCCCAGCCTAACTCTAACCCCAACTCCAACCCCTTCCCTAACTGTAACCCCAAGCCCAGCCCTACCATAACCTAACCCTAGCCCCAATCCCAGTCCTAACCTAACTCTAACCCCAAACCCAGCCTCAAATCTAATCCAACCCAAACCCCAATTCCTAACCCTAACCTAACTCGAACCCCAACCCCAACCTTAACCCCAAACCCTGCCCTAAACTACCTCTAACCCCAACCCAACCCTCACCCCAACCCCTTACCTTAACATAATCCCAACCCCTCCCTAACCTAACTCTAACTCCAAACCCAACCCCCGAACCAAACCCAATCCTAACCTAATTCTAACCCCAAACTCAACCCTAACCCCTCCCCTAAACTAATTCTAACCCTAACCCAACCCCTACTCTCACCTAAATCTAACCCCAAACCCAATCTTAAACCCAACCCTCACCCAACCCAACCCCCACCCTAACTGACCTTAAACCCAACCCTAACCTAGTCCCAACCCCAACCATAACCTAATTCCAACCCCAAACCCAAACTTAACCCCAACCCCTACCCCTCCCTTACCCTAACCCAGCCCCAAACCAAATCGTAACCCCAACCCCTACCTGAACCGAACTCTAACCCAGCCCAGCCTCAACCCCAATCCAACCTCAACCTAATCCAAACTCAACCCAAACCAACCCCAACCCCAACCCAACCCCATCCCCAGCCCAACCCCAGCCCAACCCCAACCTCAACCCAACCCCAACCCAAACCAACCCCAACCCCAGCCCAACCCCAGCCCAACCCCAACCTCAACCTCAACCCAACCCCAGCCCAACCTCAACCCCAAACCAACCCCAACCCCAACCTCAACGTTTCCCCAGCCCAACCCCAGCCCAACCTCAACCCAACCCAACCCCAACCCCAACCCCAACCCAACCCAACCCCAACCCCAGCCCAACCCCAACGCAGCCCCAGCCCCCAGCTGCACACTGTGGGTCAGGCAGACCCCTCGCTGGGAATCAGACATTTAAGAAGTGCTGCTGTTCCCCCCTCTGCCGGCAGAGATCTATCGCAGCGCGGCGCAGCGGCAGATCGCGGCGCAGCCCGAGGCGCAGTTCGGCCCCAGCAGCTCCGTGGAGCCCATCCAGGTGCTGCCCACGCAGGACGGCCGCCAGGCGCAGTGCTGTCAGAGCATCTGAGCCTCTGCTCAGCGCCTTCCTCAGCGACGCTGCGGGACGCTGCTGTGCGCTGCCTTCCTCCCCGCGTTTATGAAGGACCTGCAGCGAGGGAAGGGAGAAGCATCCCTGTGTTGTATCCATATTTACGTAGGAGCTGCACAAAAGAGAACAGAAGAGCATCTCTTCCTCATCCCTGCACTGGTGTAGGACTTACACTAAGGGAGGGGAGAAACGTCTCTGTGTTGCCCCTGAATTTATGTAGGACCCACACGAAAGGGGAGGGAGAAACATCTCCACGTTATCCCTCATGTTTACGTAGGATCTGCGCCCTCCTGCTGGGGTTTGGGCTGCATCACCCCCCATGTCACCCCAACGTGTCCCCATGTCACCCCCATGTCCTCGCGTCCCTCCGCCACAGTCACAGCAGTTCCAGCAGTCCCTACAAAGGGAAGAGCCTCAGTATCTGCTGGGTATCCTCCCCCCCAGGGCAGCTGTGGGGGAGCAGCGGGGTCCCCAGGAGGGCGTCCCCATCACGGGGTGTCGGGGGGGCTGGGGGGTCCCTCTGTCCCTGCTGAGTTCACCTGGGGATGAAGTGGGTGAAGTGGGAATGCGGGACGAAGCCCAGTGTGAAGCCAGTGTGGGGGTTCCTGCTGGTCATTTCGGTCCTGGTCAGTTTGGTCCTGGAGGCTCCTGCTGGTCGTTCAGCTCCTGCTCGCTGCGCTTCTGGAGCCTCAGGCTGGTTTTTCCGGCCCTGGTCGTTGCGCTCCTGGAGGCTCCTATGGCCGTTATGGTCCTGGAGGTTCCTCCTGCTGGTCAGTTTTTCTGGAGGCCCTTTCTGGTCTCTGTGGTCCCTGCTTGAGCGAGGCATCGCGTCGGCTCTGTGCCCACGTGGGAGCGGGGCATGAGGAGGAGGAGGAGGGAGGAAGAGCAGAGCAGCGTGGCTGCGGCACTGGGGCAGGAAGCAGCCAGCACCCCCCAAAAGAGACAGACAGACAGACGAGAGCAGACGCCGACTTTCTTAAGTAATAATACTTTAATAAAATTAAGTTCTTAATGTAATTTTAGCACATTTAATACATTAACCCTTTCCCTTCTTTGTTTTCTACAAGTTGTGCAACATCATTATTTTAATTTTTTTTTTAATTATTATTATTAATTTTTTTTTTCCTTCTCCCCTTATACTATATGCCTCAAAACTCAGACAACGAGCCTACCTCTACTTCTAGCTTCGGTTATACCTCTCTCGGGCCTTTCTTTTTTTGCGTAATGCCAGAGAGATGGGAATACCTGGATGGAACGCGCGATCGGTTTCCAATAGTAACAATCCCGACTACAGGCTTCCTATGACGTTAAAAGAACGGTAATTAAAAATAAAATAAAATACGGAAAACACAACCCAAGGTACCGAGGAACGGGCTGTAAGCGGAGGGGCAGCGCCGGGGGGCAGCAGGGCGTGCGGGGCAGCGGAGAGCGGATGCACGGCGCCACGGGCTGCGCTCTGACTTGCGTGGTTGGGTTCGGGGGTTCATTTCTCCCCCTTTTAATGATCCTCGAGCAGAATTCGTAAGGAAAGAGGAAAAAGGAGCGCTGGCCGTCCCGAGGCCAAAGGGCCGCGACCTCCCCCGTCCACCGCGCTCTGCTGCCCCTCGGCACAGAGCTGCTGTGACACGGAAGGGCGGCGTGGAAAGAAGGCGGGGGGATGCAGAGAGGTGGCGGCACAGGGGTGGCGTGGAAGGGAGGTGGCGCAGAGCGGGACGGCGGCCCAAAGCGCGGAGCGCTGCAATCTGCCGCCAGCCGCCCGGAGAGCTGCTGCCACCGCTGCGCCGACTTCCTTTCTTCCCCCCAATCCAGCGGGACGACTCCGCATTGCCCATCATTTCGCTCTCCTGGGGGTGGCCTTCACTGTGCAATGTGGCTCCTGAAGGATGCGACCCCCCCCCTTCGTACCCAAACACCCATAAAGTGCATCCGCCCTCCGGCCCGGCGCACTGCTGCCCAATGTCAAGCACTGGCTTTTCTTCAAGTATCAAACCCTGCCCCCCCCCCCAAAAAAACCCCAAACAAACACAACAAAAAAAAAAAAAAAAAAAAACCACCCAAAATGAGGTAAAATGAAAAGGAAAAGAGGAAACAGGCCGCTCGCTGCCCCGGGGGGGGGGGAAGGGGGGTGCTGGCAGGGCGGGCGCAGCGAGGGGTGTCCAATTCACAGTGCTATCTGCAGAAACCGAAGGAGAAGTGCCTTCGCTTCCTGCCCTAACCCTACTGCATGGCTTTGCTGAGTGCTGGGAGCGGCCCCCCGTCCCCCCACAACGATGGCGGCGGTTGGGGAAAGCTTTGGGACCCCCGGGGGGGGGGGGAAGGGGGAACCAACTGAAATGGGGGACAGCGCCCGCAGCGCCACGACGCAACGGAGCGGGGCCAGAGGTTGGTGGGAGCCCCCCGAAGCATGGGATGACACCGGTGTGCTCCCCAGCACTATGGGATGACACCGGTGTGCTCCCCCCGAACCATGGGATGACAGCAGGCACGGGTGCGGCGATACACAGGGCGCAGAGCGGCGGAACACAGCCCCAAAGACGCACAGCCCCAAAGACGCACAGCCCCAAAGACGCACACCGAGACGTTCAGAGGTCCTTCCCCACAACGCGACCCCAGTGCCACAAATCCCAAACCCACACGCCATAAATCCAACACCGAACAGCGAAGGGAGCGAACTGGCCCCAACTCACCCTGACCACGGGCTGGGTGCCGACGCGCGGCCCACATCCAACTCGGAGTTGGACGAGGTGACCTCCAAGGGTCCCTTCAAACCCGAACGATTTCATGCCCCGGTGGCTCCGAGGGCACCGACTGCACTGATGCTCCGTGGGACGGAGCCTTCCGGTCGGACCCTGCCACGGCGCAGTCGGCGACACTGGCAGTAGGTGGATGGTTGGATTTGTTGGAAAAGACCTCCAAGCTCATCCAGCCTGACCCCGTGCCACGGCCACCGGGACTCCGAGGGTCTCCAGAATCGTTCGGGTTTGGAGGAGACTCTAAGATCGTCCTCAGAGGTGCTGTGATCTCACGAGCGGGCGCAGAGACGGGTTGGCTGCGCTCGATGGCCCCGCAGGTCTCCTCCAACCTCAGTGACTCAACACACGGGCACGGTGGTGACGGGTTGGGGTTGGAATGGATGATTTTCAGCCTCATCCAACCCAGATGATTCCCAACACCGCGGGAGCCGGCGGCACTGCGGAGCACACGGGTGGAACGGCCAAGGAATTCCCCACGGAAAGCTCTGCTGCTCAGGGCTGGAGGTGGGAATAAGGCAGCAGAGAATGGCCTCAAGCCTTCTCATTTCTGCTCAGCAACGAGCCAAACCCTCCTATTTTGTTCTTAAAAAAAACCAAACAACAAAAACGAGAGAAACGACCGCCATCAACGCGAAATGCATCTTATTGAAACAACACGTGTGACCCCATCATTCATTATTAATATTTCCCCCCTCTCTAAGAACAACCCCGGGGGCTGTGGGAAGCTCGGCGCTGCGCCCCGCGCCCCTCGCTGCGCTCCGACAAACAGCACCAAAAACCCAACCGAAGGCAAAAGGCCGAAGGCCGGAGCTGCGGGGCGGCGCTTCTGGAATCCGGCGCGCCTCAGCCCTGGGCCGGCGGGGCGGGGAGCAGCCGCTGCTCCGAGCGCTTCGTTTCATTTCACTCTTCACTCTAAGATTCTATGAATAAATTGGAGCCTTTATTCTTCTTCTTATTATTATTAACTTTTTTAATATCCATCAACTTTTTTTTCTTTTCCCCCTCCTCTTTTTTTTTTTTTCTTTTTTTTTTTTTCTTTTTTTTTTTCTTTTTTTTTTTTTGGTTCAAAACAAACGGGAAAACGAAACAAAACAAAACAAAAAACGACGAATCACCTTTTCGCATCCTCTCCTTCTCTGAAAGGCGAAGGAGCAGAAGCGGCCGCGGGGCCGAAGTCGCAGCGGAGGCGGCAAAAAACCCAAAACAAAGAGGGCCGCTTTTGTTTTGCTCTCCTCCACCAAAAAAAAAGAAGAAAACGACCCTTTTCCTCCCCAAAGCGGCCGTTTCGCTCCTGCGGCTGGGATCGGCGCCTCCCTTTCTGTTTGCACCCCTCGACGCGGCCGCGGTGCCGATGATTCCCGCAGGCGCGGCGCACAGCGAAAAGGAAACATATATTAACCACACTTTGTGAGCCATACTCTGCATACAAACGTATTATTCCTTTTTTTTTTTTTAACCTACATATATTCTAAACCTTCTAAACTTTTAAGGATCACTTTATCATAAAATAAAATATCCTTTTTTTTTTTTCTTTTCTCATAATAAATTACCTAATAAAAAGTATTTTTATGAGCCCAGTTCCTTGCTACATTTACACGTAATAAATGCCTTTATTAAAATAGAATATTAAATTATAAAGAAATGTTCTAATTTTTAAAATCTTCATCTTATTATTCTTTTTTTTTATTATTTTTTTCCCTCCTCTCTCTCCCTCTCTTTAAAAAACACCAAAATAAACCCTTGCGGACACCGAAGCGGCGGCGGAGCGTCCCGGTCCGCGGATTTAACAGTCTGAGCCTTTGGACGTACGGAGATTTTCTTTGTTCAGAAAGGAAGAAAAGAGAAAAAAAAAAATCACGGATTCCCCTCCGAGCTGCAAAATTCGCCTGGGGGGGGGGGGGGGGGCGGGGATTCCCTGCCGGATCTCCTCGCTACGAACCCCGCCGCTTCCCTCCTTGCCGCGCGCAGCCACGCGCTGCCCTGCGTTCACACCGCTGGCGACGGCGCGGGACCCCCGGCCCCCCCCGCCACCATCCCGGCCCCCTCCGCCCGTTCCCGTCGCCCCCCCGGCCCCCAGCACCCACTGCCGGCGCCGGGACCCCCGGCACCCATCGGGACGGGGCCGCAGAGCTCGTCGGAACGTTATTGCTGGTGACCAGAGCCCAGCGAGCCGCCGCCTCGCCTCTCCGCGAAGATCCAACTCAGAGCAGGCGCTTCATTAAGGTCATGGGCAATTATTATTATTCTTATTTTTTTTTCTTCTTTTTTTTTTTTTTGAGATTTTTTTAAAATTTTTTTATATATATATATACAAATATTAGAAAAAAAAAAAAAAAAAAAGAGACCAGAAAAAAAAAAAAAAAAAAAACCAATCAAAAAAGTAGGCAAATGTTGTTGCGAAGCCCCCGCGGTCGCGGCGCCCCCCCGCTCAGAGGTATTGCTGCAGCACCGCGCCCGCGGTCCTTTCTTGCGCAGCTGCTACATCGAAAAGAGGGAGGAGGAGCGGGGGGGGGGGGGGGGACGCCGGAGAACCCAACACAAAACCGGGCCCGCCGACTGCCATTCGTTTCCGACTAGAGCTGCTACATCAAGCTTTCTTTCGGCATCTCTGGATCTGGATCTGCACACTTCTATCCATCAGGGGGACCGGGCGGCAGCTTTTACCCAAGGCCGACTCGAGCAGGAGCCCCCGGGACGCACGGAGCCCCCGCTTCCCACCAGCAAGCGTGGATGTTTGGTTGGGTCCTCATTCCTTTACACATTTTATTTTATTATTAAATTTTAGTTCCTTTTTTTAAAGAAAGGTCTTTTTTTTTTTTTTTTTT